ACTTTATATATATCGAATTTTGTTGCTTAAGTGGAACTCATGTAACCTCCCTCTCTCTCTCCTTTTGTGTAGACAAATCTGATCAAAGAGAGCATTAGGATGGGATACAATGATTTTGGAGATTTCTACTATGCACATGGACAGCTTGGAGAGGCATTTAAGAATTATGTTCGTACACGTGATTATTGCACGACTGCAAAGCACATAATTCATATGTGTTTGAATGCAATTCTGGTCAGCATTGAGATGGGCCAGTTCACACACGTTGCAAGCTATGTTAGCAAGGCGGAGCAGAGCCAAGATGCTCTGGAAAGTCTTACAGTTGCAAAACTTCGTTGTGCTGCTGGGTTGGCTAACTTGGAGGCAAAGAAGTATAAACTTGCTGCTAGGAAGGTTTGTGATAGTCTTTTCTCACTTAGGCTTCATCAAAAAAAAAAAGAAAAAAAGAAGATAAGTCTTTCTCACTTAGGCCTACTCCAAGTTGTAGCTCAGTCTTGAATTGGCAGTAAGTGCCTTTACCGTCATCAATCGAGACAATGTGCATAGAGCTTCCTCAACTAGGTTTTTCATTTGGTAAATGTCAATTGAGGAATTTTCTTAAAATTGTTAATGTCAATTGAGGAACTTATGCTCAGTGGCCTTCTATTTTTTTTATTTTCAGTTGCAGTTCATAGCATATTACCATGTGTTTGTTATTCGGTTCTTGTTACTAGATTGAACTGGCACCACAGAAAGATTTATACATCCTTTGGTTTCATTTACTTATTTGACATTTCACTGGGTCGTTGCAGTTCCTGGAAGTTGGTCCGGAATTAGGTAACAACTACACAGAAGTTATTGCACCCCAAGATGTTGCTACTTATGGTGGACTTTGTGCACTTGCAAGTTTTGACCGAGCAGAGCTGAAGGCAATAATACAATTTTCTTTTCGTTCTTAAGTGATTTTATTGTTGAAGCTGCATGGTATAATTATGATGCAACTTGCTGATTCAGATGATTTTGTTTGGCAGAGTAAAGTTATTGACAATATTAACTTCAGGAATTTCTTGGAGTTGGTACCTGAGATAAGGGAGCTCATTCATGATTTCTACACAAGGTAACTTGGAATGTATTATGATTTAGATTTATTTTGCAGGAAGGTGTCAGTGGGTTAGACATCATTAGTCATGTCTGCCATCTGTCTGATATGTTTGTTAGAAAATGCCTTTCAATTTATTTGTATTGGCTGATGAGTTCCATATGGAACTTTTAATTAGAGCTACCCTATGGTCCTGTTTATCCTTTTTCAAGTTCAACCCCCTGATATTTTATGCATGAAATCAGCAACTTGACCTTTTCCACTATTGTCTGGTCATGTTTCTACTGTGGATGGAAGGATAAAAGTTTAAATGAGCACTGAGACGGTTGTACCTATTCTTTTGATCACCTTCAATAGGATTTCTTTGCTTAGGATAAACAAAACTGGAAATGTTTGAACTACAGAAAGAAAAGTGTATTACCTCCATTCAACCTTTTTTTTTATGACATGTAAATATGTATTTCATTGATATACACCCAAGATGGTTTAGAGGTGGTTTGTATAAGATAGATGATCTTTTGTTTCGAGAATCCCAAATTTTCTCTACATGACAAATTATGAACTAATGGAATGAAATAAGCCCAAATGGTTGGAATGGATGTTGATGATTAATTTGTGTTTGAGGTGTAGTAGTTGTTGTATATACCAAGGATGTGGCAGCTATACTTGCTTTTCCATTTATTACCCTTGGATTAATGGAAAAAAATGAAGGATAGCACTCAGGAGAATGGATTATATCCTAGAAGAGATGTGGAGGATTTATCCTGCCTGTCTGAACATTTCGTGTGAATAATTTGATAAGCTTCTCTTTTCCTTACCTTCGAACTGTTATCTCGTTTCAAACTAAAATGATTGTATGAATTTAAAATCGAATGAACTGCCGATGTCTGGAGTTGTGTCCTGAAATTGATTTTTCCAGACTCCCCTTTCCCCTAATATACTTCATTTTTATCTATGATGCAGTCACTATGCTTCTTGTCTGGAGTATCTAGGAAATCTTAAAGCAAATCTGTTGCTTGACATCCATTTGCATGACCATGTCGAGACGCTGTATGATCAAATCCGTAACAAAGCTTTAATCCAGTATACCCACCCATTTGTCTCGGTTGATTTGAATATGATGGCCAATGCTTTCAAGACGAGTGTTGCAGGTTTGGAGAAGGAACTTGAAGCTTTGATCACTGACAACCAAATACAGGTGATGGACTAGCAACATATACTTTTGTACCCATCTTCTGTGTGGAAAGCCTTGTTATTGTTTTGTCAATTTAGTGTATAGATCATGATTGTTACTATCCTGCAGGCTCGAATCGACTCGCACAACAAAATTTTATATGCACGGCATGCTGATCAGAGAAATGCAACCTTCCAGAAGGTGCTGCAGACAGGCAGGGAATTCGACCGGGATGTCAGATCAATGCTTTTGAGAGCAAACCTTCTCAAGCATGAGCACATCCTTAGAGCCTCAAGAAAACATTGAAAACGAATAAGGACGACGACGGTAGCAGTTTTGTTTGCCTTAATATGAAGTTAGGTCTGTTGCATGAAGTTGACCATTGTCGAAAGAGGTTGGATTGAGTCTCGGAGAAAGCCATATCTTTTGGGGATCGAGAAGTTTTTCAGGATAATAGTGGATTGCTGTTCATATTATAGATTTACCAGATGCTGGAAAAGTATATATTTTTGCCTGATCTACTTCCTGCAACCTTTCTTGGTGATGTGTCATCATCAATGAATGCTAATCCATTTACTACTTTGATGAGTTTAACCTGCTGACACTTTGATGAGTGTGTTTTGCTTCAATATTGCCTCCCTTTGTATGGTTATACAGGTCTTTTTCTTTGATGAGAGATCCTTTAGGCTAGTCCGACTTAAAGCAACTAAGACCAATCACAAATGATGAAAATAATAACCACCGACAGTTCATCTCTTTCATCAGCCAGGTAGTGGCGGCTGTGCTGGCAAATTTATCTGGATTCTGGACCCAGCTTTTTTTATTCATCAAATTATGCAAGTAGCATCTTTCTGAATTATGACTTGGCATCTAAAGGCTAGCGCCAAGTGAACTTTGGTGATCACTCATTTTATAAAAAAAGTTACTACTTATTTTGTATGACGTGAAGTTGAACGAATTCATCCTTAAAAAACTTACTCTCAAACTTTCATGGAATCTTACTAATTTTATATGTTGAGCAATTTCTAACCATGCGGTTTAAATACTAAAGTTTATGCTGGGATGTTAGTTTGATTTTAAGTTCTAGCACTCACCACTTAAAATAGCCAAGTTCAAGTGGTCCATTTCAAGAGTCATTTTTTTCATTTTCCCGTCACGCTCTCTTGATTTGTCAAGTAATGTGTAATTTCAATCCCTAATATGATTGCAATGGAAGTGTTAGCAAGTATTTCCTCCGTTCACTTTTACTTGTTCATTATTAATTTTGTACATTCCTTAATTATTATTTCACGGGAAAAAGATGATATTAGAAACAGGTCTTTATTATAGACTAAATTTAGCGATCACATTCAAAAGAATTGAATCTAAAAACAAATATATGGATTTTATAGAATTATATCTATACTAGGGACCACCAATATTTATGCACAGAAACATGATTAGCAGAGAAGGTTGGGTAACTGTAATAAGCCAAAAGCTAAAGTAGATTTCTCAAAATTCATTTCCAGTTTATATACACATCGTCCATAATTGCAGCTCAATATTAGATACTTCAGTTGACTTCACGATAAGCGATTGTTCTCTTTTACATAGCTTTAATGCCAGTCATTCAAAGGTATATGTTTTTCTCAATTAACTGCAGAAGAGAAAGTTGAGTATTCATGAAGGATGCATGCTCAAATTAAAGGCAGCATATAGAGGACTGACATGATCTATGTTTAGGCAAACCATTAACTACAAAAATCTACATGTATACCTATTGTAATTGTTCGGAACCGCTCCTGGCCAGCAGTAACCCAAATTTGCAGTTTGATTCGTTTGTCATCAAGTTCTATGGTCCTTAAGATCAATACTATGAAAGAATTTTTTTTTGCATTGGAATAAATTGGCAGAAAAAGAAAGAGAAAATATCTAAATATCAATACTCATATATTCTTTATAGAGGCCATTAATATTCTTAATCTTGATGGAGACCATGTTACTGAACATTTTCGTGATTTACATTTAAGTTTAAAAGGTTCTCTATTGTTATTCAATGAGAATCCTATCTTATTGTGAAGTTTCACTTCTAATCAGTTACATCTATATATTTTTCTTTAGGATTTAAACACGAGCAGTTTAAGAAAAATACCAAGATATGAAAATAAAAACCGTAGAATGTCAAGAAAGAAATGAGAGGATAACTACCCAATAATGGTGATAAAACTGGTGGTGAAGGAGCCATCTGAGACACGTAAAAGAAATAAACTCTTATCCACACCTAAAATTTTTAAATATAAGTTGTACATGATAAAATTCAGAAAAACCAAATACGTAATAATCACAGTGTGTTCATCGTATCAACAAACCAGTTGATCAACCAAGATTGAAAATAGCGGTTGATCCATTATCAGTTTCTACTCATCAATTAACCTTCAAACTCACATGAATTCAAGATTGCTCGTCGCACGTCAATTATAGATAGCTTAATGGAGAAATATATCAACCAAGAATGCAAAAAAATTCTTCGACTACATATAAAACTAACATAACAGTGAAATGGGTCAAAAAATAACCAACACTGGCTCATAGCCTAATTAAGTGAAAAATCAATGAAGCTTTTAAATTCTGCGGACTGTCTTACGTATCTATATAGAAAAAATTTAACAACTGAAAGAACCATGAACTGATTGAGATATCTTGTCCGTAGCAAATGAAAATACCAAACTAACTAAACAGGAAAAGTTCAATGCCAAGAAAAACATGAAATGATTCAAACATCTTTTTCATAAGTAATAAAACTAATAAACTAACTAATCAGACAGTTCTTAGTTTCTCCAACTGTTACATATCAAACAACTTATGTTATCTTCTTCTTTGTAACTACTCTCTTGATCTTATTTCCCGATAGTTATGCATTCGAATCTTCTTCAACCACTGCTGTAGGATTAGTTATACCTATCTTAGCATGTGTATTTGCAACATTGATCAACTCATTATCTTCAATGGAATCCTACATATTTAAAACACAAAAACTTGTGAAAATCAATACTTAATCTATAGTTCTTGTTGCTTTATTGTTTTATAACCTGCAAATCATTAAATTAAAAGAATGAATTATGTAAAACAATATTTATAATGAGTTGTAAAATCACTGTGATTTCGTTATCTTCATGACTAACTTTGTTTTTATTGAAATCTGGATCCTATAAAAAAATGTGTATCATAATTAAAATTTAATTCAATCACAAATAGGAAAACTGAGAAAAATTGAGTATTGAAACATACTTTGAACATCTCTTCTTGTGGAGTCGTCGTCAGTAAGCGTAACAACTTTTAAGACTTCATCTTTATTCTGATTGTTGGAACTCTTAAACTCAACTTTAAACATCCACCTTTTTTCAAAATATTTTCTATCTCCATTGGACATGAAGAGTCGTCTGCAGCACCAGAAGTCTAACAAAAAGATATAATGACTGTAGTTAATAGAAGCTACAACAACAAAAGTAAAAAAGTAAATGTAATACGGTACACACATTTTGTTTGTTCCTTATTAGAATGGATTAAATTATTACAAAGACGATGCTTCAATTCTCATAGTAAGTGTGTTATTAAGCATACGCTAAATGCGAGGAATAATACACTAAATAAAGCTCTTAATATAAAAAGACTAAAGCAGAAGATAGGAAACTAAAATGAAAGCATAAGTTTTTTTTAATGCAAAAGCCTCTTCGTTCATTAATACTTGCTGAATTTTGCACTTTAGTGCTGCCGCCAAACTCAAACCATTTTAATAATATTTTGTAACCTCAAATTCAGCACCATCGTTATCAGAGATTGAACCATTTTTTCTTGTTTTTTTTTGTTAATCACTGTCTTATAAAGATTGAATAGCTAGGGTTAATGTCAAAATTATTCTAGCTTTCATACAATACTTGTAAACAAAAGTAGATTTGCTTGGGTCTATGGTGCTTTTTAAGTGTTTAACTGCAAAAGAACAAACCCAAATTTTAAAGAACTTCAAAACAAAGTGAAACTTTAGCGATAAGCTAAAAATAGAGAACTATTAAAAACGGAACTTAACTTTTTCAGTGATTAACTACAACTATCTTAACTTTAGCGAAACTCAGGGACACCTAAAAACAGAGAACTATTACCATCCTTTCGAAGTTCAAACTTATCAAACCTCTCAAGTATAATGAATCTAATAAGAGCAAAGACATACATATTTAGCAATAAGCTCATTTGAAATTTAAAAATCATATCTTAATGACTTTGTAACTTAAACTTAAAAGAACTTTGACGTTATTGGTTAACCTAAAGTTCTTTCAAGTATATCAGTTCTAACATGCATATAGACACAAAGTAAACTACCCCATAAATAAGAAGGAAAGGAGATGCAGGGAATGGATCATGTACCACTTTTTTCAACGTTGATGGTCTTATTTTTCTAAGCAATTGTATTATATATACCTCAAATACAGGATCCTTAAATCATTTGCCGACTTTTCGATAATCTTAGTTGCATCCTTATCCCACAACAACAAAGAAATTTTACCAGTGCATTCCATCACCTTAACTTGTAGCATGTACCTGGAAAGAGTTTGTGTTTTTAAATTTTTAATCTTTAATAATAGTAAAAAAAACTATAAATTATGGTCATACCTATAAGTGGCAGATTGAATCTGCTCGCATTTCTTACAATAGAATTTTTCCCCTATTTCTCCACTTTCTTTGCGCAATTTTTGCATGCTAAATAACACCATCCACGGTCTAATTCTACGTGTACAATAGTTGCTACAACTTAGAAATTTCCTAGTTGCGCATAAAAATTGTATATACAAATGTTATGTAGAGAAAGATAAGATAAAATTTGTGCTAATTAAAAATTAACAAAATTTAAAAGTAGGTACTCACATGCTTACAATCACTCAAATTTTCAATAGTTTTAACTTCATTACTTCCAGATGTTAGCTCCTCAGCAACAGAATGAGTTTTGTGAGATAAAATTTGAGTAATTCTTTGTGAGCTTTCTCCACACACAGAAACCATTATGTTTTTATTTTTAAAGTCGAGATACGTTAATAAATATTAAGAGTAAAATTTAATTCGAAATATCCTTAAATGAAATATAACTTATAGCCTGTTTGGTCAAGCTTATTTTTGGCCAAAAGTGCTTCTTTTTTTTGCCAAAAATACTTTTGGCCAAAAATTGAGGCGTTTGGCCAAGCTTCTGGAAGTAAAAAAAAGTGTTTTTGAGGAGAAGCAGAAGCAGTTTTGGAAAAGCAGAAAAAAGTAGCTTCTCTGCAAAAGCACTTTTTTGAGAAGCACTTTTGAGAAAAATACACTTAGAAGCAGTTTTTAAAACTTGGTCAAACACTAATTATTGATCAGAAGTGTTTTTCAAACTAATTAGCCAAACACAAACTGCTTCTCACCACAAGTACTTTTGAGAAAAGTACTTTTGAAAAAAAGCACTTCTCAAAATAAGCTGATTTTTGCAGCTTGGCCAAACGGGCTATTATGGACCCGAAGCAAAAGTCAACAGCTTGAGGAAGATTTGAATTGATCCAAAGCTTCGACATGTGCCTCTTTTTCCTCACCGAATATTGTTCTGCACACATAAAATTAATATTTAAGAGTTTACTAATTGTATAGAGACATTGTATTATAAAGTAAGTAGATAATTTAATAACCTCGATATCGATGTGCTCTAATCAATTGCATGACAACAACAACAGGTTTATCATTGGATCCATTCAAATGTGGCTTATCTTTTCGCCAAAGTCTTCCCAAAGAGTTGCAGAAATGTTATTGCTCCTACAATTATTATAAGGTTAAGCATAGGAATCAAAATAAAGAATTGTTGAAATATTTACTTAGTTCAATAAATTGTGACAAGCTTACGCATAATCTTGTATCTCAATGTTCATGAACAAACGGATGCTATCATCTTGTTTGATAGATTGTACGTCTTTATAGCTTATAATTTTGCCAATAACATTGACCAAGGAAATATGTGAAAAATTAGTAATCATTATGGACAATATAAATAAAGATTGTAAAAGAATTGTTAAATTTCATGATCTACCTAAGATATACCAATTGGTATACTAAACATATAAGACAGGAAAGAGATTATAGAATAGTAACTGAAACTGAAAATTATATTTTTATAAGATAGAAATTATATTGTCATTTTTGATAGAGGACACCTCAATTTTACAATTACTTTTCATTAGTTACAACAAAACCAAGTAGTTAGCATTCAGGTATATAAAACAACTTAAGTAAAATATTTGACAGGAATTTAAATATGAGCATCTTGCCTAACATACCATCTGCATTTAGTCTTAGGTGAAACAAACTGTTAGTTTAAGGCAATGGGTGTCAGTCTTAGGTGAACCAAACTATTAGTTTACTTGTGAGAAAGATACTAGTTAAGTTACATAGTTGTTAATTCTCTTCAAATAAATTAGTGAGAGATAAAGAAATGGAATTCCATGTGAAGAGAACATCGCCCTGAATATTTTGTTTGAACACATTTTGATGCCACGAAAGCAGAGATTAATCGGAAGGTTTTGATTCACATGGACCTTACTCATAATCTTGTATCTCAATGTCAGCAAATTCAATTTTAATCTAAAACTTAAGCTTTAATCTTATGTACTGTAATTAGTATTGATTTACTTCTCAATTAGCACTCACACGATAGATAACAAATAAGGAAAAGTAAAATGAAATTGGAAAAAATGAGAGAAATTTAATTACCGAATAGCTCAGTATTGTCAAATTCTTGGGGATTTGACAACTGCTCATAGGTTCTAAATTTGAAGATATGCATATTGAAATGTGGATCACGTATATCCTCAACAGTGGTCTTATGCATGAACATCAGCTTGAACTTGTGGTTTTTGGTCTTCAGTGTCATATTATTTGGACAAACCACGAAATTCCTCATGATGTACAAACTCATTTCCTTAATTTGTTGTTTGAACCTTCGGATAAAAGACCTACCAATACTTGCGTGAATGCGGTCGCCCTAAAAAATAGTTAATTAGTTAAAACGACTAAGTTATTTTGTATATGACTGTAATATACTTGCGCATATATAAACAATGCAAAATAGAAAGTAATCGTAAAGTTTAAAACAATACCTTTTCATCCATCACAATAATCTCAATAGAAAAAAGTGTATGGGTCTATCGTGATTTGAATTTTCCCAAAGCCTAACAACACGAACCTTTAATTTCCAATTTATTGACTAGCTGTTAATTTCACTAAAGAAATTTATTTCAGCCGCCATTAAGTCCTGAAAATAGAGAGGTATTTATAAATATAAGTAGAAACTCCAACAAAATGCTTATAGAAACACATATGAAGTAAGAGATCATGTGAAGCAATTGACTTATTGCTGATGATTCTCCAAAAAGTCATCAGCAAGAATCTGCGGTATAACTCTAAAATTGGTAAACAATAGTTTCCATACAAGTGACGCCATCAACAAATTTTACAGAAATAATCTGTTCCAGAAATAAAATCCGAACAGGAATAAAGATTGTTCATGAAATACAAATCATAGCGATCACCTCTTGTAGTCCAAAATTGCTGTTTGATATGCACACGAAGGAGAAAGAATAGAAGTATATATTGTAAAAGTAAAAAAATGATTTTACAAAACTATGAAATCATGTTACTGAGAACCTAGGAGAGAAAGAATTCGTGGGTGAGGAGTTAGAAATCGTGGTGAGAGATAGTGAGATTGAAGCCCAATTTGTAGGATTGCTATTTGTAGGGAAAATAGGCGAAGGAAGGGCATTTTACTGAAGTGCCGAATTCCCAATTCCTCTCTTTCGTTATAAAAAGTACTATTTTTTTAAAAATAGTAGAAAGCAATGGTTCTTTAATAAAATAATATACCTATTTAATTATTTTAAAATTTAAAAAAAGAAACTAATTTGACCTAAACTAACTAATGACGTGGGATTTAAGCGCTGAAGTCCCAATTCCTCTTTCATATAAAAAATACAGTATTTTAAAAATAGTAGAAACTACTAAATTTTAAAAACAGTAGAAACTACTGAATATTTAAAAAGAAATTTGTTTTCAAATGCGCCGAAGTCCCAATTCATCTTTCATATAAAAAATACAGTATTTTAAAAATAGTAGAAACTACTGAATATTTAAAAAGAAATTTGTTTTCAAATTCAAAACTTTGAAAGAGAAACTAATTTTAACTATATTAACTGCTTTGTCCTAAATTGCTACATGGCATTTTATGCACATGACACTTGGCAAAATCTCACGCCTGACTTTCTTCCTTTTAAGTAAACTAAAATTAGTACCCGCGTGATGCGCAGACAAATTATTTCAAATTGCGATGTATGTTGTTTGAATCATAATAACCTTAAAATATATATCTCTCAGATCAAAATTATATAACATGAGAATTTAATTATAAAGCAGGATATGAAATTATTGATCAAATCTCGTAGTAGACAACCAATCTTTTTAACATATATTTGTAGCAACCTAACCCCTTGATTTTAGTACTTGCATTTCGTTCCGTTGTCGATATTAAAGAATACTAAACATGTCATATTGTGATCTGTCTTGTTTGAGCACATTAGATCATATTATTTTAACAAAATTCTTACAATCACTTTATTTTTATCAGGAAGTCAAATATGTCTTATTCATCACATCATTTTTACGTAAATTCTTTTTTTGTTTTGTTCTTTTCTTATAGTTATTGTATTATTTAATATTTCATATTATTATACTATCATATAATTTTTTGTTAGATTATAATTAAATTAATGTCTTGCTTATTATCCTTTTAATAGTATGTGATAAAAATAAATGTTTTATTCTCGAAATTTGATATATTTTTTATGCTTTTATCCTCTTATTCATAATATTTTAATCATTTAAATTTGTCAGAAATATTTTTAAATATAATTAATTATTTTATTTTATCTATATTAAAATTAATTTAAAGTATAAGTATCCTCACACTACCTCTAATTTTTTTAATATACATTCTCTTTCCTACTATAAATGTTAATTAGTTTTATATTAATATTTTACCTATAACCAAAATAATGTCATATTTTGTTTTAAATTGTAACTTTTAATTAGTCTAAAATATAATACATAAGTTATTTGATTATCATGTTCTAAATGTATTGAGTTATCTTATAATTAATTTTGTATTAGATTCAGTTAAATTTTCTTTCTTTTTTAGCTATAAGATAAAATTTAATTTTAATTTTAATTTTCATTATTAAGATTACCAATATTAGAAATTTATTTTATATTGTTAAAAATTTATTTAATCATAGAAAAAAATTCTTAATTTTATGAACACATTATTTCTAAATATTGTAATAATATTGTTACTATCATTTTAATTCTTTACGTAATATTTTTTTTCAAAAGAATTTCATCTCAAACTCAAATAATTCTTATCATTTTATTTTCTAAACTGGACCACATTTTCAAAAAATTATGCTATGCATTCAAACTCAAACTAACTGCACTCGATTCAGATATTAATCATAAGTCTAAAATATTAATACATAAGTTATTTGATTATCATGTTCCAAATGTATTGAGTTCTCTTATAATTAATTTTGTATTAGATGTAATTAAATTTTTGTTCTTTTTTAGCTATAAGATAAAATTTAATTTTTAATTTTCATTATTAAGATTACCAATATTAGAAATTTATTTTGTATTTTTAAAAATTTATTTAATCATAGAAAAAAAATTCTTAATTTTTTTATCACATTATTTCTAAATATTGTAATAATATTTTTACTATCATTTTAATTCTTTACGTAATATTTTCAAAAACAAATCTCATTTCAAACTCAAATAATTCTTATCATTTTATTTTCTAAACTGGACCGCATTTTCAAATAATTATGCTATGCATTCAAACTCAAACTAACTGCACTCGATTTAGATATTAATCACAGAAAATATTTTCTTAATTGTTTGAACATATTATATCTAAATATTGTAGTAATATTTTCACTGTCTTTTACTTCTTTACATAAAAACTTTTTTAGTTTTAAGATACAAAATAAATTTTTCTAAAATTATCTATATTATAAATTTATTTTATAATTTATAATTTTATTTTTTATTATTGTTTTACTTTTCATAAATAAGACTTCAATTTTATGGTATTATTCATAATTTGAGCATTCGCATAGTAGTTTTAAGAACTTTCTAATCTTAAATTCAAAGAGTCTTTTCTTTTCATTTTTAATAGTAAATTTCTAATAAGTTAACATAATTTTTCTATTTTTTAATCTAATATATAGTCTTATTACGTTTTATATGGCTTTTCATTAACTCGTAAATTTATTTAATATCATTCTCAACTACTTTTCTTTAATAATATAAGATAAGTATATAATTTTTAATTATAAAATAAATATTTATTTTGTTTCAAAAATATTGCTAGAAAATTTAATAATATTTTTAAGTATTGTATATTTACTTTATTTTATTTTCTAAACTTATGATTTATAAATATCCTTACATTATATCTAATTTATTTTTATTGTTCAATATTTTTAGTTTTTTATTTTACTATTAGACTTGAGTTATGCGGACTTATATAATGACTTTTCTTATCATAATATAAAAAACTTTCTCATCTCAAATTTAAATAAGTTTTACACTTTTTCCTATGATAAAAAATCTTAGTTTTTTTTCTTCTATTTATTATTTATTATTGATTTTATATTATTCAATACCTAATATTATTACATTGGCATGTAAATTGTTATTAGCATGTTTGAATTAAATATCTATTTTTACCACACTCATTCTAATATAATATAGATAAAAATTAAAATACTTTCTCATCTCAAATTTAAATAAGTTTTACACTTTTTCCTATGATAAAAAATCTTAGTTTTTTTTCTTCTATTTATTATTTATTATTGATTTTATATTATTCAATACCTAATATTATTACATTGCCATGTAAATTTTTATTAGCATGTTTGAATTAAATATCTATTTTTACCACACTCATTCTAATATAATATAGATAAAAATTAAAATACTTTCTCATCTCAAATTCAAATAATTTTTATCATTTTATTTTCTTAATTGGACCATATTTTCAAAAAATTATGGTATGATTTCAAACTTAAACTAACTAAACTCAATTCAAATATTAATCATAGAAAAATATTTTCTTAATTATTTGAACACATTATATCTAAATATTGTAGTAATATTTACGTATAAAATATTTGTTTGCACGATTTATTAATATTAATATAAATTTATTTTTCTTGTTATTAAAATATTTTTTGCTGATTATTTAATTTTCTCTTACCTTATAATTAATTTGTATATTTTATGTAAGATCTTATTTTGCTGCTTGAATTTATTTAGTTTTTAAACTCAATAAATCTTTAATATCTTAAGTAATTTTTAGTTTTATTTTATATTTTAACTTACTCCAAAGTATAAATAGTGATAGGTTATCTCAATTTACGTCTTTATATATATTTTTTTCTATTATAGTTTTTAATTAATTTTTTACCTCTATATTTATGGCTAACATAGAAGTAAATCTATGAGTGAATCAATATATAGATATAAATATAGATATAGATATAGATATAGATATAGATATTGATACAAATATACATATAAATTTAAATATAGATATATAGATTAGATTTGTCCAAATCTATTTAGATTATGTATAAGATTCATTAAACTACCTCCATTAATTATGTTTCTATATATAATTTTTAATTATTAATATTGTCCTAAAATTGCCAAGTGACTTCATTTTAGCTTGACACTTGGCTTAACCACAATACATACTACTCTCATTTTAATATAATATAGATATAGATAATTAAGGTATATAATTTACCATGATACCAATATTAATTGGTATAGTCTTAATGGATTTAGAAAATAATTTGGAATGAGTAATAAATGCTAAAAGTAAAATAGGAAAAATAAATTATTTTTCTTTTGATATGTAAAAAGTGATAAGTAAAAATAAAAATTTTATTTTAGAATACTTGACAAGTCGCACAAAGCTAAGGGGAACCAATACAATTCTCCGAAGTAAAAACTAAAGAAGAAAATGCCTTGGAATAGATCTCCATACTTACTCTTTAGTCCTTCTTAACTCATAAAGAATGGCTGAATTTTAAAAGAATAAAAATATCCCCTCTCTCTCTCTCTCTCTCCAGTCTCCCCGCAAGCTCCTTTAAGCCACAACACTCACTTCTAAAAGCAGTAAAATCTACTTCAACATATGCTTCAGATCTTCGAATTTCCATTTCTGTGTGTGTCAGTGTGTGCGCGGTTGGATCTTGAGGTTTCTATTATTAACTGCTACTACTGAAAATGGGTCACTTGAATCTACCATCGTCAAAGAGAAATGTTCGACAGTGGCGTCTTCTTGATTTAGTATCAGCAGCTTTCTTTGCAGCAGTGTTAATTTTCTTCCTTCTTTTATGTACCCCTTTGGGTGATTCCTTAGCTGCTTCAGGGCGTCAGTCTCTGCTTCGTTCAGCCTCCGGGGATCCACGTCAGCGCAGTCGCCTTGTCGCACAGGTACAATTTCATATTGTTATGCTTTCAGTTCAGTTTGGATTAGATCTGTTTTAATAATTTGTGGGATAATTAATAGGTGGAGTCAGGGAGACAGACTACAGGTATTGATGCATGCCCAGCAGACTATGTGGATCATATGCCTTGTGAGGATCCAAGATTAAATAGCCAGTTGAGTAGAGAGATGAATTATTATAGGGAA